AACAAATGAAGGTACAAGTTTTTTTACAAACAGAGTAACAGAGAAACAGCATTACTATATTCATTTCGCGATGACGAATGGTCCGGATTCCCGCGTTGTGCGCTACGTAATGGCATCGATGTATAAATCATCATTACTTTATAACCGTAATGTTTGAACTATTACGCCCATATTCATTTTAATTTTTATTGCAATCTCTTCAATTAAAATCTTATATTTAATGATATATATGATGAAAAGACCTGAAACTTTCTAAAAAAACTCAATTAATAAACAAAATTATAGTATAGGTAAAAGTTGACAATTCGAAAATCCATACAATAACTTTTTCGAAAAACTATGAATTCGGAGAAATATTTAAAAAAATTTGACAGTTAGCTGTGAAATGTTTCAAAAACTTTTTATGCGCTCTATATAGAATAGAATGTATTTGATCCCTCAAGGTTACAAAAATTAATATATCCTAAGTGTTAACCTAAATCTTACAATTAATCCTCATAACTTAACTAAAGCCTAACTTAAAATTGCGTTGCTCGCTCGCCACACATACGCGTTTGGGACCTCCGCTTCTGTCGCAAGACATTTCCGATCAAACTCTTGCCCCCTCCCCCCTCTCTTTCTCTCTCCTTCTTTCCCCTTGCCCTTCTCTCTCTTTCTCTCTCCCACTCATCCTTCTTTCACTAACTCTCTTTTTCGCGCATGTGCAACAAATATGTTCTCAGTGAAATATTTAAACAGTCTATCAGACAACGCATAGTTTAAAATCGCGTCATAAAATGTCTTATGACTTGATTTTAGACTTTGTACTACTTGCGAAATATTATAAACCCTTATTAAATTTTTTCTAAATTACCTAAAATATAGATATTTCAAAAATTAATGAATAAATAATAAAATAAATATTGATACATTTATAAACACTAATAAAATAATTGATAAATATTATTAAATTTACAATAAGCAAAGCAGCTATATATTTTTCCTTAAAGACTAACTATGATATATGTTTTCTTTACATCAATTGATTCTTCTCATTAAAAATAATTAAAAAATGAATATTTTACAAATATTTTAACAATATTTTTGCAAATAGTTTATGTAAAATTATGTTAAATGAAAGTATTAAATATCTCATAAATTATTCAATTTTAGGCTTTTCTGTCCTTATAACTTTTTACTCCAAATATTGCGAAGAAAATCGATTTATATAAAAAATTTAGGGTAATTTCATTCAGAAAAATAAAGATGACTTTTAAATTCTCGCGAAGTGCTTCCATTTCCAAAAATGATTTCAAGATGATAAAGAGAAATTATTCATTTGATCCATTTTATGTCCTCCTTGAAACTATCATGCAATTTTGATCCATTTTTTTTCTACAAATAATAATATTGACGTAAATCAAGTTAATATTAGATGACCCATTCTGTATATAATTTATTGTAATATATACAGGATGATTATCTGACACCAGTGTGTACATACACACACACACACACACACACACACACACACACACACACACACACACACACACTATT